CCGGAGCACGGGTCTCGGGAATGGGCCGCGGGGGTTCCCGAGGTCCCCGGTCCCCCGACCCGGACTTTAGGGCTCCGCGGTCAGCAGCGACGAAGGTCGTCGTCGGAGTCATGACCCGCACAGACATGAAGGGCCGGAACCACCAAAAAGTGGAATTGGGTCCCCATGCCTTGGCGCATCGAAACCAGGGATCGGAAACCGACCAAGATTAACTGTCAGCAGTCGCTAGGCCGGTCCCCGGGATCGAGACGCGGTTCTCAACAGGCAGGAAGACAGGTTCCTGCGTTAAGCTTCGGTCATTCTGGGAGACGAATCGGGTCCCCAAGATGAGCCGCATGAAAGAGCACTCTTCTTTCATCCGCCTAAAGAGCGAGGCTAGAAACCTGAGAGTCTCCTTAGTTTGTCTAAGGACTCCACGACGGTAAAGATTATAACGACTAGTGACGTGTACGTTAGGGTCCACCTCAACCAAGAGTTGGCACCTGAAACTCCCTACGCACGGATGAAGGTGCACCGGGCGCGTTCTACCCACGGAATTATACGTCAAAGGGGAAGGAAGGCGGGCGACCTGGGGCACGAAAGTCATTGGGAGGCGGTTGAGTGGGCCGCTAAGACCTCTGCAGACCACACCTGTAATCCGGCGGCTGAGTGCGGCTGCTAGAGCGGCCCCTGGGCCTGCTGGGAGTGGGCACAGGCTGCTGCCTGGTCTGTCTAGCTTGGGCAGCACACTCCAGTGCCTCCAGGGCAGCTGACCCAAACAGCTCCCCTGGCTCGACTGGTACGCTACGGAGGACTCTCCTACATGCCTCCGTTAGTGGTGACTGGGCCAGCCAAACCTGGCGACGAGTCTGTACCAGCAACAATGCGTCCTCATACAGAGGTGTGTCAACCGAAGGAGGTGCGTCAGCCGAAGGAAGTGTGCCAACCGAAGGAGGGGCGTCATCCGAAGGGGGGGGGCAGACGGCCCGCTAGCAGCCCCTACACCGGGCCCAGGCTGAAGGGCCAAGAGGCGACTTCATCATGCCCCTACCTTCCTCAAGACTTGAAACTGTTTTTTGGGGGCAGACCCCCACAAAGAAAAAAAAAATACACACATACAAGGTCATCATCTTAACAGTTTGTTATGCTCATCGAGTCATCCGTGAGCAGAGCATCAAGTTGCCTATAACAGCTGAATGCGGCTATTACCATCTTGTTCAGCAAAACGCCTCACAAACTGATTAAGATCTAAAGTTTTAGTGCGTTTTGATTCAATGCTGAGTACAGCCACACTGACGGTCTCTTCTCTGTCATTGTAGACCGCAAATACCTCATTCCTTCAGTCTACTTGGATCCGAATGCTTCTCGTTTTGCGCCGTCCCGTTCAAATGAAATCGCCGCCAATCACATTTCATCGCTCGCGCCAGGGCCGAGGGAGGGGTTACAAGGCTCGCGTCTTGTGCTGCATTCACTTGCACTCGGACATTAGAGACTTTCTCTCATAAATGTCCGATGAGCCACAACTTTTCTTTCAAAACAAAGCTGCCAGCTGGGGTGGCAACTAGGGTGGCAAGGTATTTTTCTGAGGTGGCAGCTGCCACCCCGTGCCACTCCGTAGAACCGCCACTGTGTTAAAGACCCTTTTAATAATATGTGGGGGGGACTTGATAGATGGTTGACATGCAGGCATCATGTCTATAGCATAATTGTCTAAATGGACGTCCCAAAGAATGTAAGTACAGATAAAGAGAGTATTAGCTACCTAATGTGATTTTAACCAAATAGCTTGACTATAGAGAAACCCTTCATTCATAAGTCTGACTTTTAGATTAGAACCAACCCATCCACTGGTGCTTCCTTAAGTGGTTAAATAATTTCTTCCGTAGAGTTTCTGAGACATTTTTGGTTATAATTACATCATGACCAGTGGGGAAGGAGAATGAATGTTCCCCTTATCGTCCTATTAGGTAGTGTTAATCAGAGCAGTGTTAGTCACGGCCCCTCGGAGGTAGTCGGACATTACAAAGTTAAAATCAGTTAGTTGCAACTGTGGTTTATGGCATCCTGTTGTGCTGATAAATCATTTACTTTCTACACATACAAAGCTTCCCTTCTTACCATATAAAGAAACTGTCATAGATTCATAGAAATAGTCTTTCATTCACAAGATATATATTTTTTGGTGGTATACTCTTACAGTGAACATTAAAACAAAAAAGGAAACATTATTTGGAATCTCATCCCACACTTTTTTACAAAAAATATCACATTGTTTTATGAATCTAATCTTTGCATATTGCAGTTATCTCTGTTCTGTACAGTAATGAGTTAAGTGTGTTTGTGAAGCAACCAGGTTGTTTGATGTGTCACTGCTTGTATCCTCTGCTGCAGGCCGCTCTGTTGGGAAAAATATGTCAGGTATTTGTTCAATTTAGCTGCAAAAACACAGAGTTGGGCATTTAAGATCATTGTTGGGTGTACGAGAACACTCTTTACCTTTTTGTATTTATTTTCTTGTGTGTGAGTTTTATGAGAGGTAACTCATTTGGGGAAGGTTTTGGTTAATGTCTGCTCGGGGATTAATGGGTGTCCTTCAAAGGTAACAAATCACAACTCAGTCAGCATGCTGTTCTGACTGCAGGTGCTGTCACACCAGCTGAGCTACATCACTGTGTAGAGAGGTGTGTGTTTGTGTGTGTGATCAAAGCCCAGTATCGTGCAGTTTGTTGGTGCTGTACTGTAGACAACAGATGGGTATCTTTCATGTTGCCAGGAGACATCTTTCTTTCTTTAAAGACTAGATCAGTTATTCCAGTTAAATATAATAATCTACACCCTCTGCTTTTTCCCTGCGTCTTCCTCTCAGACCCGGCAGCCAGTCTTTGTGCAGCTGTTGCAGGCAGTGTTCAGGATCTACCATTGCACCTGGTTGGTCCCAGTTCAGAAGGGCTGTGTTGAGACCTGTATCAAGGTTCTCTCTGATGTCGGTAAGATCAAGATCCTGACATCGATGGCTGTCTCACAAGCCCGTTCTTTTTAAAGTTCGAATCAGTATATCAGTAGAGTTAACAGTTCTGTTTAGCAGTTATGGAAGAAGTACTTTTATCCTCTAAACAACAATATTTCCCTCTGAGATGTGTTGGAACAGAAATATAAAGTGGCAGAAAATGTTAATACCCGAGTTAAGTCTTTAGTTACAGTCCACAACTTGTTTTAAGTAATGCTTCTTTATTCCACTTACCAGTAAGGCAAAAGTTTAAATAAAATATACTGGAGCTGATTTATCTCGACTCACTGCTTGTGTGCGTTCCTGTTTGTACCCGGCAGCCAAAGGCAGAGCAATAGCCATCCCTGTGGACCTGGACAACCAGGTGAGCAACCTGTTTGTGAAATCCAACAACATTGTCCAGAAGACGGCCATGAGCTGGAGACTCTCGGCTCGCAATGCTGCCCGCAGAGACTCTGTGGTGACTGCTTCACGGGACTACAGGAACATCATCGAGAGGCTGCAGGTAGAGTATTTCTGAGGATTTGTGCTTACTCATGTGTGTTAAATTGTTAGAGGAGTAAGACTGTGTCTTTGGCTGACCTCTAGGACATTGTGTCAGCTCTTGAGGACCGTCTGCGCCCGTTGGTCCAAGCTGAGTTGTCAGTTCTGGTCGACGTGCTGCATCGTCCCGAGATGCTCTTCCCTGAAAACACAGACTCACGCAAGAAGTGTGAGAGCGGAGGTTTTATATGCAAGTAAGCACTGAAAATATCTTCCTCAGCTCAATATGTCTACTATTGCTGTGTGGGTAAGCATATTCATTACAAATGAGATTTATGAGCTAATGTACCCGTGCAGGCTGATCAAACATACAAAGCAGCTGCTGGAGGAAAATGAGGAGAGACTGTGCATCAAAGTTCTGCAAACGCTGCGCGAGATGATGACTAAAGACCGAGGCTATGGAGAGAAGGTAGGGGAAGCTGCAAGGCCACTTATGGTGGGGTGATGTACTTTATGAGCACGGTATGACTGTAACAATACTTTTTATTATACTGTATATCATGCATAAACACATAGAAAATGTGTCAAGTTTGTATTTCTTTTTTTCAAAAGGTATTTTGATGCTGGTGCATACATACAAGATATAGCATTTATTTTCAGAGAAGAATATCAAGTTTGCAGGAACTACTGTTTAAATAAAATAAACACAAATGATCAAAATCAGAATGATTTCAGAAACTATGGAAGCCCTGAAACAGGGGTGTAGTTGTATAAAAGCAGCATCACTGCATCACACGCACACTTTTTACACTCCAGAAGTGCCCTTATTTTGAGGGGTATTGGTCTTCTTCTCCTGCACAGTCACCTCATAGTCAGTAAGGCAGGACTGCTCACTTACACAGAAATGCTTTATCACTATATGACACTGCACTAATTCTGCTCAACATGGCTTATACCCATTCAAAAATACAATTTGAATCTGTGTTGTTGATGAGTATGTTCACAGTCTTAACTCACGTGACTTACATGACATGCTGTATTTTGAACTCTGCCTGAGCTTCTTCCCACCTGTGTTGTTATCTAACCCCTCAAACCCTCTGCTCTCTTTCAGCTCAGGGCCTTTGATGATGAGATGGATTTGCCCAAGGTTGTTTCTCTTTTTCTTCTACTCATGCCCTTATTTCCCTCAGCTGCTGTCTGTTATGTCTGTGTAACACTAGTAGTTGTTCTGTAACTGTCCTGTAGCAGCTGCTGTGGCTGTGTGTTGTAGGTAGAGGAGGCTCTAGATACAGCAGGTAACACATAGTGGTAGGGCTGATTCCTGCTACCGTAAAACGGCGTGTAGATCACCTCACAACAGAGATAAAGAAAGAGAGAGAGATTGATATCCCCCATATATATCAATCTCTCTGCAACATGCAGTCAGATCCATCCCCCCGATGGATCTGACTGCATGTTGCGCAAAAGAGTTATTCCAAGTTCCAAGGTGAGTCACTTGCTGGCTAGGCAAACTGCCAGTGCTGCATTTACATGTCCTACATTCTGCCAATGTAGGCACCATATCAAGTAAAAGTCATGTCAGGACATTTTGACTGTTTATTTTTAAACTAATTCCAATTTTATTACTTCTTACACTGAAGAACATGGCATACAAACAGGTAGCAGGTGTAAAAACAGAGCTACAGGCTTATATTTATGAAAAAGAACATGAAGAGGCCAAATGAACAAAAAAAAAGTATTTAAAAATGAAAGAGATCTGAATTATGAATTGGTGGGACATTATATATAAGTATGTCCCCAATATTTATTTGACTAAAAGGAATGTAAAGATAGTAAAGCCATAAACTCCTTATCTCTTTCTTCCTTCTCTTTTTCTTTTCATCAAAGCGTATCATTGTGCCTCATCAAGGTTCAGCTTTCTGAAGGGTGTTTCCCCTGCATCTCCTTAAGGTGCCAATAGGGGTCACTGTGACTGTGCCGTGTGTGTGTATGTGTGTGTGTGTATTAATGAATGTAAGGGGCTGTGGCAGTCATTGAGGCTGTGTCCTATTTTTGCTTGCCTGAGAGCTGCACGATTCCTGGGCCCCTGCCAACTCCGGGTTGAGGTTACATAAGAACCAGGCTTTTTTTTCCTTCCTGAAACTCAGACCCTCTGCTGATGTGTGACCTTCAGCAGTAATTGCCAATCAAAGTGTGGAGGAGTTGTTTACCCACACTGCCGTTGTGTGTGTGTACCTGCGTGTATAAATGCGTGTTGCAATCATGGGGTTGAGAGAGATGATCCCCTCACACACCTGTTCAATGTTGTATCTCCGTCTGTCTACACATGAGAAGCAGCTCTGATGTGAGAGTGGCAGACGAGTGGAAATGTGCTTCTCTCCAGTGCCAACTTTGAGATGTTTTTTCTCCTCTTGTTCTCTTTTGGCTCTACTAAATCATTGTGACACAATTTCTCAACTACTCCCCACTTCCATTCACACCTTTCCTCACATGGATGCAAACACACACCCACGCTGTGTAAACTTAATGGAGTTGGCTGCTAGTGTTTGTGTAGGTGTGACATGATAGTCTGTAGTTTGCTTGAGTGTCCTCTATCAGCCTTTGTACAAAGCAGAACTGCATTGTATGTTATTATATAGGAACATGGCAAAACGTTGGTTTAGTATTCAGCTTTTTAAATAAAAATAAAGACATGAAATATTGTTGAGATGAGTTGTTTTGACCTCTCCAATGTGTGCAAACCACACCGTTTCTAAGGTTGGATTATCAGCTAAATGTGTTGCTCTTTGGCTGATCATTATGTAATGGGAAAGGAGTTTATGTTACACAGTGTTGGTCTGCCCCTCTTCACCTGGCCTCATGTATGTGTGGTCTTGTCAAAGCAGTTATGCAAGCCCTCTATGTTGGGAGTAAATCACTTGTCATCCCTTTTACCTCCCTGTCTTGTCCTCTAGGGAAGCTTTTTGGCGGATGGATTTAGAAAAAAAACCTCTTCTTCAACTTTAAATTGTAAAACAACATCTGGCTCACTCGTTTATCTGCTAGACCATTTGCTTTCCCACACAGCTCAGCTTTGCACACTCTGGTCAAGACAGACACTTTCTTTTATAGTGCTGGTATAGATGTAGGTCAGTTGCAATGTAAATGAAAGAGTGCACTCTTTTTTTTATTTGGTCTGGTAAAGCCCAGAATGCATGTCATTCACGACTGGTTTAAACATGACTCAGTCTCAGCCTGCAAATGCGCAAAGACATGTTTGTTACGCACTTTCAGAAAAGACACCGAAAATGTTGAATGCAGTCTCTCGCATGTGAGTTGGTGTGTATGTGTGCACATATTGTCGAACTGTGAAGTGTGAGACTGATCAGGGGTTTGCCCCGGGAGTTTCCATTTTGGTGTAGCGTGCTGTAGTGGGGCGGATGTGGCAGCTGTGAGGGGTTATCCTGTGGTGTTTATGGTCAGACAGGGGGAGGTTAGCTGCACATATCTACTCTGATCAGCATGCTGTTTGTGGTTCGATGTGGTAACAGTAAGGGTTTGTCCACAGACTAATGGGAGATGTTGCTCATGTGTGGCCCTCTGACCTGCTGCTGAACTCTGCCGCAGGACTTGTTTTTAGGCATCAAGAGAGTTTGAAGTGTTGACACTACAAAATGCAAGTCATGTCTCTATTCAAGACAGGTGCAAGTCCGACGCCAGCTCATGAACTTTGAGTTTAGTTTGTTAACAAAAGAAATGGAAATATTTAGAATATTAGTATTGGTAATATTAGCTAAAATAAATGGCATAATGCTGGAAAAAGTCATTTTTTTCATTAAAAAAAAAAAGCAGATATTTATAAGACAGTTGGCTTCTAATTAGGGAATCATGTAATCCTTGGGTTAACAATATTCTCGTTTGGGCAGGGGGCTGCGGACGCTTGTTCAGGGAACCTCTATGTGGCATTATTGTTAAAACACCTTGTTATCTTTTTATTTTTGGTCTAAGAAAAGGTGCATCAGGTTACAGCCTTAATTAGTACCTTAGGAATTTCTGAAAAAATGTCAAAGAAATCAAAAGACATCAGATTTGTCTATCTGACTTGGCTCCACTTAACTCATTCAAAAATATAAACCAGAGTCAATGCATCATACAGTATAGATAAACACTGGTTGATCATGCAGGGGCAACGCTGAATACCAAAGTAAACACCCTTTGAATATGGATAGATACTCTACTGTACCTCATGCTCTCCACCCTGGCCCCCAGAGAGGGTCAGGGTTTGATCATCCTCCTCTGTTTGTTTCTCGCTCTCACCCTCCCTTTCTTTCACTTGCTCTGCCTCTTGCCCTCTGTGTTTTTGATGACAGATGGCCACTGTAAGCAGTTCTGTGTCACTGGTTTAGTGACCTGGTTCCTTTCCGAGTTATTATGTAACTCTAACCCCATCGCCTCTCGCCAGTCCTCTCTCCTCGCCTGCCAGTCCTAGTGTGTCCTTTTACCTAACAATTTATTTGGAACATTTACCAGTTTCCCTTTCCTCTTGGTAAATACTTTACATGGAGGCCCTGAATTGTGATACTGCCAAATGATGTCTAACCTGATTTCTCATTGTTTGGTAGAACCGTTAAGGGAAAACTAACAAGGGAAAACTAAATATCTCAGACTCTACATTTGATGATGTGCTTTTCATCTTCCTCAGAACATGGCTTAAGGAGGGAACCTCTTACCTGGTGTTTACTCATTACTGACTTATCAAGATTGTAATAATCTTGATGATTTTCAAAGAAATTAAATGTTTGTTTAGTCGTTGACCATTGCTGAATGGTGTAACTCAATAATGATTGAGCCTATGGCCCACTGATGAAAGCCTTAATACATGGGTGTCAGCACTGCGCACTGTTACAATACTTGTGAAGTGAGATCCAAAATACCTCTGCAGTTACCGCTTATCATCAGAGGTCTTACCAAAGAGAACAAAACAGCTATAGCTTCAGCTTCATATTTATTTTTTAAATGAGTGGTATTGATCTTCTCTTGATATGTTTGTCCAGGAAGCAATAAGTATAATCCCAAAACCTTGTCTAAAAAGGTAATTTAAAGATAATTTTTGATAACAATCTTTAGGGATTTTTGAAAATGAACAAAAGATCAAATCAAATTGGACATGTCTTAATTGATGATGTTATTGGCAACCCTGTAAAGCTCTTCTGTCTCAGCTCGCTGTGCCCTGCAGACCATAATGCTTCGCTGGTTTCTTACAAGGCAGTAAATGCATGGCAATTCACACGGAGCAGACCTTTGCATGGCCACCTAAAACAGCTGATTTGGTCATTAACCTGACAATTGCCTGCATGAATACTAACCCTGTGTTTGTATCTGTTGGACCACTGTGCTTACACTCCTCACTGCACCCAGCAGCTGGATCAGAACCAGCCTGAGAAGCTGTTGGAGGACCAGAAGAGGGTAGGTACAGCACCAGTTTGGCAGCTAAAAACGTCAATCCTTCAGATTCAGAGTAAGATATCAAGTTTTAGACGTACAGCATCTTGAATGAAAAATTACCTTTTTCTCACTTTCTCTCGGCTTTTTTTTCTGATCCCACCCCTTCACTGCTTGAAATAACCAACTAAACCACCAAGCCACAGCCAACTAATGTTTAACTGAAGGAACCATATTTCCCTCTGCCTCCTTCCTCTCATGGCGTTTATGGCAATGCAGAGATTTTACAAAGCCTCAGGTGTTTGTATTTCTGAGGCAAGCTCTAATATTGCTTATCCAGAATAACAACTATTGATTTTGAGTTCATCCATGTGTAATTATCATCTCCAAAAGAACAACATTATTTATCAATCAGGTATGTTCAGCGGCTGTTGATTAAATGTCCCTAACAAGCAGTCCTCATTATATTACTCATAGCCACGCAACCATTTTGTTGTACCATTTATATGTGACATTTATTTGTTAATTTCCCACCTAGACAACACAATTAATATTTGTTTGCTGGTTTCATAGTTTCAGTAAATTGTTTATTCTTGATACAGGCCAGGTCTTTGCCCTCAGTCATTGATTTGGCTCATGAAAACGGCAGTATTCTTGAGTGAGACACTACTCCTGTCTCACTCAAGCTCCTGCCTACTGTGATCATACTGTGCTCATACACAAAATACACCGTTGACCAACTTCCTGCTAATAAAAGATGAAAAAGGTAATTCCCAACACCTCCTACATAAACTAATCCTGACCTCAAGAGCTGTGGCAGCGGAACTTACATAATGGCGCTGTCGTCAATTATCGACCACCCACAGTTGACAATAACTTGCTCATAATCAGGCAGAACGCACCAAAAACTCTCCTTAATTTCCTTCACTTTATCCCATGGGAGGTCTGTCAGGTAGCTATGGGCTGTGGTTGCCATAACAACGACAAAGTCGTGCTGCGGACTGCTCAACCGAGGATGAGTCACCGTGTGAGGGCTGGCCCCAGGTCCATCTAATATGAACACCTCACATTGTCCCCACACAGTGTTACTGCTGCTGCCGATAGTGACGTAACCGTGGTCGTGTCTGTGGTGTATAACATAAACTTCGGGTTGTGTCTGCAAGTTTTTCTATATTTAAGATAAAAAGTTGATGTACTTTCTCCATTTCTCCAACTATGAATCAAAGAGCATAGTCATTATAATGTTCTGAGGTCAATGGGTTTGTTCGCTGTATATCATTAATGATGCATGTTAGCTGTTTTAAAACATCTCCTCTCTTCCTGGTGCTGACATCATGACATTACATCCTGTCCTTTCTTTCCCTCTCGTAGGGCGAGGCTCTGAGGCAAATTCTGGTGAACCGTTACTATGGCAACTTTTATCGAAGTGGTGGGCGGAGGGACAGCCTGACGTCATTTACCAATGGCCCCCTCAGTCCGGTAGGACCTGGCAAAAGCCAATCAGGTGGGAAGCTTTTGCTCTTTTTCAACATCTTATGAAGGAAGTGATGATGGAGTTTAGTTTGCACAAAAGTTCCTGAAAACACTGATTTCAACATATCGTATTGAGCTGTGTGTGTAAAGCTTTAACCAAACTCCTCTGCCAAAGAGATGCCTGATTTTCTGCCAGTTCTACTACTACTACTACTACTACTACTACTACTACTACTACCACCAGGAAGCCAAGTTCACATAAAACTTTTATTTTTGCTCAGCCTACATGTTTCCTGCCCTTAAAGTAAAGCAAGGTCCTCTGAATAGTGTTATATAAGGATAGGACCCTATCTGTCTGGCCCTGAGCAGGTTATCAGTTGCAGAGTTGTGAGCTGCCCTTTGAGCATGCAGAGCACAACACTCTTATCGCTACCTGATAACAAGGTCATTGGGTTACTATCTGCAGTCAAAATAATACTGAATCTTTGTGGAGTCAGTATTAGAGTCAGTGTGAGTTATTGGTTCTGATATGTTAAATATATTATGTAACATTTTATCTGCATGTAGATTTTGGAGGAGACATTGGTGCCAATGATATGAGCTGTGAGTATTTTCAATATAAATTCAGCGCTGCCATATTGACCTAGTTACCAGAACGGCTTGTTTTTTCTGCTGTGACACAAAATGCAGTCTTTTCACATTCACTGTACAGTAACATGGGTGTGACACCATAATGTAGGTAAATTATGTGTATTATTAACATGTGGTAAATGAGCCAGGTAATGTGTTTTGAACTGTACCAAAAGACACCATCTCTCTAATGTGCACCAAGATTTTGGCAAACCTCCAGACGACAGGACGTTAACCCTCCCCTGTGATCCACTTTTCGCTGTTGCTAAGTGACACACTGCTCCCCCCCTAGGAAAACAGTCTTTTGCACCTGTTGCAGAAACAAGAGCCAGGCAGGCTGAGAATTCCATATGTACCATGAAGCTGAGGCCTCAGGGGGAAATGAGCAGGCAAAGTCATGTACAATGAGTCACACAAATATACAGTTACTGTGGTTTGCATACAGCAGTTAGAAATATTTGTGGTGGCCCATTTAGAAAAAAAAGTTTGGGAACTTTGTGTGTACCAACTAAACTGCCGTATGTTAACCGGTATCAAAACATATCTTGCCCTGTATACTTTAATGAACTATATTTATTGTGTCCTTATTATTTGGTTTCTGTGTGAAATGTTTTATCATATCTCTATCAAGCAAATAGAAAAAGAAAATAGAATAAATCAACTACAATATCATTTTGAAGATTTTTTGATTACAGAATTATAAAGTTAATATATACATTTTTCATAAAGATAAAAACAATGTAATTGGCCTGTGTTGTCTCGTTTAGCTATATTCTTTGTTAAATACCTGCAAATGACTGAATATGCAATTACAATTTTAACTTCTGTTTAATTGCACTGGATTTGCACATGGGCATTGGAAGGTATTGATCGCACAAACCATATACCTGATACATCTGATACTGATCTGTCTTTCTGTCTCACATTTGCAGCGTTAGGAGGTCCTGGGGGTCTGAGTCGTGGGGAAATGAGCCTGGAAGAGGTGCAGTGCCACCTGGACAAAGAGGGAGCCTCTGACCTGGTCATTGACCTCATCATGAACACCACCAGTGACCGAGTCTTCCAAGAAAGCATCCTCCTGGCTATTGCCTTGCTGGAAGGTGGAAACACCACCATCCAGGTCAGTTGACCCCTCCCAAATCTCTTACCAAACTGATCAGACAGTTGTTAACTGTCTACTTTTGAATAGCTTGTCTGCTAAAACACGCCTGAATCTTTATTATTGTAAAACAATACAAATGACACACTTACCTATTTCGCCTACTGTAATAATCTGCCTAATCTGCAGTGTTTTAAGTTCATGGACTGTTATCTTCGTGAGGCTCGCCTTATCCCACAGTGCATCTGTGTATGATCTGTTACAATTTAGAACACAAGGTACCATGGATGGTTTCCATTACAACAGGATCTACAGTATGTGGGTCAGTGTGCCACCATAGCTGCACATACATTACCAAGGCGGCTCTCCTCCCTCTCACATCCAGCACATATATTTTTGCTAAAAGGCCAGGCCAGCTGCTGATCATGTCATTCGTTTTTAAAAATGCAAAAATATAAGATATTCTTGATGTTGTCACTTATTGCTGATGTGTGCAGGAGGCAACATACATTGTTTCTTCCTTATTTCCCATATTAACCTGAGCAACTCTATCCCCTCTGTATCATGATGTTTCCCTTTTTTTAAAGTCTGCAGTATCCGTCTGGTGCTCTGTTTATCTCCCTGTCCTTCCAAACATCTGTCCGTCTGTGTGTTGCTGTGTAAGTACTGGGCTTGCATAATGAGATTAAAGCGAGGAAGCCACTGTGGCGAGATAATGCTTTGGCTTCCCACGGCTGCTGCAGAGCTACGTCACGTGATCCGTCTGCGTTACATAACGCCTGTGTGAATGAACAAAGAGGAATGTCTCAGCCTTCAAAACATTCCAGCCTCTCCCTCGATCCCTCGCACTCTTGCCGGCCCAAACTGGGTCATGCTGGGCCTCCGGAACTGGGGCAGTGGGGAGAGAGGGCGGAGGGCCGGGGGAACACAGAGGGGATTGAGGAGAAACTGGAGCTCCTCTCACCCTTGCATTCTTAAGTTTGTTCTGAAAAGGGAGGTTTCTTCAGGAGGGGGGGAAACTACTCTGCATGCAGTGCTAGAAACGTGCCGCATAGTACAAATATTTGCGTTCTTTGAGTTACTGGATCATTTCCGAAAAAGAAAGTCTTTGCCCTGACAGCTTGAAGCTCAAATTTGTAAAATAAGCATACCTTTTCCGCTTGCTTAAAGTGTCATCATGAACGAAAACATACTGCTTATGCTTTTCTGCTCTCTTCAAGAAAAAACTCCAAGGTTAATGGGATTCAGTGTCTGCATCCGACATGCCAAGCTGAGCACCTGTTGGGTCTTGGATATCCTGTTCTGGCGTGACGCAGTTAACTAGTCACTGGACCTACGTAGCCCACAGAAATAAAACACGGAATAACTGAAGAGTCTATCCACAGTCACTCATTTACACACTCTCTCATTCTGCTGTCATGCAAAGCCATTACATATGTCCTTGGAAGTCTTGAATATTTTACAGTCAGGGCTTTCTAGACTTGTTGTCTACTCATCACTCGTGTTTATGTCTGTCACATGCCAGCTTTTCTCCTACAGCTATCAGAGAGCTCTAATAGCTGTACATTGTGTTGTGACAACATTTCACTGGTCAGACATCTGGTGGGCATAGCTGCATAGCATTGCTTCTGTTTCCCTCCAAAACTCTGGCATTGCAGGTGCATTTGAAAAACACAACAAAGCAATAGACATTTTCTCCCAGGTGAAAAGGAGAGGTGGCTGATTTGTGAAAGGAGGAGACGGAGTTGGAGGACAGCAGAGCTGCATTTGGTTTGCATGTGGTGCTGCCTGATATGAGAGGGAAAGGGAGTGCAAGTATAAATAGCTGTTACATAACATCCCTTTGTTGATGCCAAGTGGCAGAACGGAAGGAGAGAAGGGAAAGCGCTATGACCTTGTTTTTCAGTGTAGTCCGCCCCCACCTCGCCCCACTCAGGGTATGTCTCCATGGATACAGACAGGGACTGTGTTTACCCAACACTGCAGGGGGCCCTTGAGATGCTCCTCTCTCATTCACCCTCCTCTGTTACTGTCCTCCATTCTCTCCTTGACCACCATGTATTAAACCATAACGTCATCCCTCCATCCCACCCCTCTTTCCTAGCCTTTTCCAGTGATGTCAAAACACAGATGGTGTCTTGGTTTTGCATCACAGATTTTGATACTGTTTGTGTAAGGACAAGCATCGATAGGCAGCACTGTGGTTAGACATGACAGTTTAGATTCTCATTTCTGAGTCAGCGTAAGACGCAACCTGCATTAAATTCTAAGGAAACTATAAATTGAAAGTTAGCTCTGGTGTTTTTCTTCACTGTGATGTTCCAGCTTTATGCACAAGGCTTTGTTTCAGTGACTCACTCAATCCACGAATCTTAGCTCAGTTCTTAGAAGCAGTGTTCCCGTTTAAAGAAGTACTCTAACAGTCTGCTGGTGCCAGTGAATACGTTCACTGCTGAACCCAATAACTCCCAACTTCCCAGCGACCATCAATCTAACACTCACTTCTACCGCAGTAAAAGCTCAGCTAACACTGAACCATGAGATCAAATACCCCTGCTGCATGGTGCAAGTCCTGCCAACCTCACAGAATAAGCCCAACCGCACATTAAGGCCCTTACACACCAAACAGACACCAAAAAACACCAATGAACACGTCCCGACGGAACGTCGCCTCACGTCTCCTGCGTCTTGGCCATGTTTCGCACTGGAACACACGCAAAGACTTCAGCCAACGGCCAAGTTATAGGTATAGTTATAACTCTCCTTACCAGCAAGCGGTGGTAGTGTGTATTCGTCATTCAAAAGAGGCAACAACCGGAAGACAGACTGCGTGATACACCAAGAGAAGAAGAACAGACTGCGTGATATAAACAAACAACAAATAGCGTGTGCGTTCCATTTTCACTCTACAGCGAGAAGCTCATGGGGCTTTCTCGAACCTGTGTCGAGAGCTGGAGTTAAATGAAATCTCAGATTTGCCTTCTTAATAGTTTGTTTGGGTCCCTCACTTCCGTTTCGCTTCTCATGCACTGATTCGCTAAGCTCCGTGGGTGTTTCTCAATGTCGAGTAAAGCTGCTCCAGAGCCACTATTTCAAGCATACTACATCATAGAGTGCCACCGAAGGACTGTTCCAATGTCCAGCATACTTAGAATTATACAGAGCCCGGCGTACTTCGTAGCGAGAAATTTCGAGTCTGCTCATGTGTAGACTCCACGGTCTTAAAATCCCCACAATGCTTTGCGCACCGACCGATTTCCAAATATTTGGCGGAAATCGCGCTCCATTTAAGGCGAGGCCTCGCATATGACGCACACCTGTTAGCCTGTTCCACAATTCTTCGTTTTCCGAGGCTAGGAAGGATTCTTGCCTCGCTTCTGAAGCAAGTGACTCGGAAGACATGTGCTACCAAGCAAGCGTCCTCGACATTGAGAAAACACCCCAAGACCACCAATCTGAGTAGGGCGACTGAAGGCAGTATCTGTAACCTGGGATATCCCCGAGATGTGGACCACCATATTAATAATATGACCGGCATGGGAAAATAACCGTGATTACATAAGAATTAAGTTGGCAGTTTTAGGGAGAATACTGTAAAAGTGCATGTGTGATATACTGTATGGGTGTGTCTTTGGCATGTGCCAGAGAAAAGCTGACCTAGTTTTGGGAGTGTAAAAGTAAGTCAGTGGGCGTGTTAGTGTACTGCTCTTCAACTTGCGTTTGCTTGTACTCTGGGTTTGTGTTTATGTGTGTTTGTGAGTGAGTTATTTTAGAGTTAATGTTGAGGG